CTCTTTCCCATTGGTAAGCCCCCTGCCACACCCCATATATCCTATGCTCCACCTTGGGGCCAGCACCCCCTAGCAGAGAGAGGCCCCACCCCTGCCCCTGACAACCTTGAGGCCACCTGTGCTCTGCCCTGGGGCTGGCTGGTTGGGACTTGGAGTCCCCTGGAGGGGGAGAACCACCTCCCCCACATTCGCTGGGCCCCGATGGGGGCTAGGTTCCAGGGTTGCCAACTCAAGCATTTTTTTGTGTTTTGTTCTTTTTTTTCCTGGTAAACTTTTTTTTTTTTTTTACTGACACCCCAACTTTTTTACTGATGCTTTTTCAGTAAGGGAGCAGGATAAGATGAAGAGAGGGAGGTAGATAGAGGTTGGTGGGGCGGCAGAGGGAGCGGTGCTGGCCAGGGAGGGGGCGGAGTGGGGCGGGAGTAGGGCCATCTCACCGCCCGCGAGTTCTTGGCTTCCTTGACGAGCTCCCGGGCCTGCTGCACCTCATCCTGGATGGCCTGGGCTGGGCAGCCCCGCAGAGCCCGTGCCTCCTCCTGCACCCGCACACACAGCCGGCTCAGCATCTGCTGGGGCACAGCAGTGTCAGCACCAACCCCCCACGCCCCTGCTCAGCCTCTTACCCTGCTCTAACCCTGAATTGGGACTGGTGCCCCCTGTAGGGGGGACAAATCCCCCTCCTTTTCCTGCCTTCCTACATCTCCAAGCACCACCCACTCTCTCCCATTGGTGCACTGCCTTGTTACCCTGAACCTGCCTGCACCCCATCCTGAGGCTGGGTTGAGACCGGCAACTCATGGAGGAGTAAGACCCCTCACTTGTCCCACCCTCTAAGTCCTACCCACCCACTGTCTCCCACTGATGAAATACCCCTGCCCCGCCCCATTATGTTCCATGCTCTGCTCTGTGGCCAGCACCCCCTTCTGATGAGAGGCCTCTGCCCCATCTCCTACCTTCCTGAGCCCACCTATGCCTGTTCTAGGGTGGACTGGTTGGGAAAACCTGGTGGGGAAAGACCCCACCCCACCCCAAACCCTGCCCTAGGTCCATAAGGTAACTGGTGCCCCTAGGAGGAAATGACCCTCTGCTCTCCTGGGACTGGATAGGAACTGGTGCCCTGGTGGGGAAAGGCCCCCACCCTGGGACTAGAAAAAGCCTTTTTTTTTTTTAAATGACAACTTTTTATGATCCAACTTTTTTACTGACACTTTTGTTTGTTTGTTTTTGGTGGGGGGGGAGGGCTGGGAGCGCTGGGAACGTTTACTTGCTCGGCGCTGCTGGTAACGATTCCCTGCTGTAGCCGAAAGGCCTGCTCCTGTGAGAACTTCTGGCAGTGCCCGTTTCGGAGAAGACACCACTGGATCTGGAGGTGGCAGGAGAAGAGAAAATATGGTGGGGAGGGAAAGATACCACCCCTCGCCTCCAGGGGGAGCTGGGCCTTGGCTCAAGCCCCAGCACCTACCTTCTGCCACACTTCATCCGTCCTCTCGGGGGTGTTGCGGTAGGCAGCCGTGATGTCACTCAGGGGGAAGGACATGAACTTCAGGGTATAGTTGCTGGGAGGGAAGCAGGGAAAGTGAGAGTTACACCCCCGTCTATCAACCATCGACCACCCCACCCACCACCTGACCCATCACCCGATGACACCCCCATTCATCACCCATCCATCAACTCACCCACCTGCATCCCAGCTGTCAACTCACCCAGCTACACTCCATCCATCCCTCAACCCACACCCCCATCCATCACCCAGCTGTACCACCTTCATTAGCCATCCACCACCCAACTACACCCCATCCCATCCATCACCCTACCTACCACCCAGCTACAACCTATCCATCAACTATCCACTAAACCACCCAAACTACACTCATCCATCACCCCACCAGCAACCCAGCTACATCCACATCCATCACCCTACCCACCACCCAACTACACCCCATCCAACCACTTATCTCCCCACCAATGACCCAGCTACACTCCCATCCATCAACCACCCATAGCCCTACCCACCACCCAGCTACACCCTATCAACCATCTACCACTCCACCCACCACCCAACTACACTCATCCAGCAACCCACCAGCAACCCAGCTACACCCCACCCACCACCCAACTACACCCCATCCATCAACAGTCCATCACCTCACCCATCACCAGCTACACCCCCATTCATCGCCCTACCCACCCCCAACTCTACCCCTTCCATACTTAAGTCTACCAAACCTAATTGACTCTGTTTATGCCATAACCAATGCATGACCCAAATGAACCCAACTACCCTTCTGTCCCCACTTTCACTCGAGTTGTTTAACCAGATTTAAGCTTGTCCAATCAGCCACCCCCATCAGCCAGCTCTGCCTTCCCAGCCAACCAGCCCAGCCCAGAATGCAGCTCTGGCCCCGCAATCACCCAACCCAACCCCTAATCTGACCCAACCCAACCCAACTCAACCCCCCAACCTAGTTCAACCCAGCTCAACCAGCCATATAAATTCCCCGCCCCATGTCTAACTCAATCCAGCCCACCCTGTTCACCCCACGTTCCCAACCCAGCCCCTCAGTACTCACTTCTCCAGGGCACGAGCGATGTCGTGGAAACCCAGGGCTGTAGTGTTGTTCCGGTCCCAGGCAATGCTCCTGTAAAGGCGAGGATAGCTGAGCGGGGTAAGACAGCAACTTTCCCCTGGTGATCCCCCACTCCCCAGTCACCCCATCGATTCACCCCCTGCCCCCATCCCAGGGCACCCTCACCTTAAGGCTTCCCACACTGCTCCCATCCCCACCTGCCCCCCTACCCCAGACAGAAGCCCACCGCAGGGTGCTGTTGATCTGCAGGGCCTTGGAGAGCATCTTGGCACCCAGGTCTTCCATGCTGTTCCCACTCAGATCCACCTTGCGCAGGCATGTGTTACTGCCCAAGGCATTGATGAGGATGGTTGTGCAGGACTTCAGCCGGGAATCAGCCACTGAGAGGGACTGTAGGGACTAGTGTGGATGTGGGGAGGGGTCAGCCCCAGCCCTGCTGGTGCACCTCACTCCTGACCTACTGTCCCATGTCCCCTCAACCTGCCAGTGTCCCTCAGTCCCAGCCCACATCCCCCTATCCCCACCAAGCCCTGCCAGTGCCCCTTACTTCCAACCCGCAGCCCCCTGCCCTTCCTGACCCTGCCGGTGCCCCTCACTCCCGACCTGCACAAACATCACAATTCTGGGGGGTAGGGGAGGGGGAAAACTCACACAATCCTCTTCTTGTATCATCTGCACAATCTTATGAAGGATCTCCTCCAGCATCCTTGGGACATGAAGGGGACAAGTCCAGGGGGTCTTAATAAAGAGGGGGAGCCAGGGATCCATCCCCCAACTCCCTGCCCTAGGCACCATGGAGGTCACCAATCCAGCTCCCAAACCAACCCACCTCAGCCCCCAACCAGACATTTGATCTGGTCCCCAGGACACCAGTCACCCATCCAACAAGTGGTTGCCATGAGTGCTTCTGCCCATCGGGCTGATCTAGGCATATGACCTCTTCTCATGGGTTCAGCATGGTTGCCATGGAGGTCATAACCATCTGGCACAGCTAGGAGGGTTGCCACGGATGCCAGCAGCTATCTAATGGGACTGGATGGATTGCCATGGGGTTTCTGCCCCTCCTATGAGTCTTGCTTGGTTATTATGGGTCTAAGTTGATCTCCATGGTACCCAGCCCCCTGCTAAAGGGTGCAGATTGGTTGGCATGACATGCACAGACTATCATAGGGGTTCAGTGTTCATGGTGAACACCATGGGGGCCAGTGACCTGGGGATGGGGCTAGAATGGTTGCCATGGAGACCAGAGACTATTCAGTAAGTCTTAAGGGATCACTGTAGTGTCTCTGTCCGCCCCAGGGGGTCCATGGGGATCTCTATGGACTGTATCACCTAGGCATTGGGTTCTGAAGGATCACCATGGATTCCATCACCCTGGCAATGAGTCATGAAGGTTGACCATGGATCCCATTGCCCAGGCAATGGGCCCTGAAGGGTTGCCATGGAGATTATCACCCAAGCAATGGGTGACTGTGGAGTCCAGTACCCAGGCAACAAATCTACAAAGGTCACCATGGATTCCATCACCCAAGCAACGGGGCCTGTAGACTTGCCATGGAGTCTATCACCCAGGCAAGGGTTGTCATGGATTCTGTCACCCAGGCAATGGGTCCTAAAGGTTGACCATGAATCCTGTTGCCCAGGTAATGGGTGCTGCAGGGTAGCCATGGTTACCATCACCCAAACAATGGGTCCTGATGGGTGACCATAGAGCCCATCTCTCAAGCAACAGGTAGTGAAGGGTCACCGTAGATCCCTTCACCCAGGCAATGGACCCTGGAGGGGGCAGGGCCTCACCCACCGGGCCTTGACATTAAAGTTCTTGCCCAGCCAGAGATGCTTGATGGCCTTGTTCCTGCCCAGGGCTGGCACCAGAGTCAGCAGGTCTCCATCAAAGCCTAGAGAAGGAAAATCGGGGATATGTGGTCAGGGGTCATGGCCAGGGGGCAGGGAATCCCATGGCCCTGCCCCCTGGGGTTGGGACAGGGTCAGGGGGGGCAACAGGACTTACCATTGTCAGAGAGGTCGAGGCTGCCCACAGCGCCGATGCCCCCCAGCAGCTCCTGCAGGGCCTGTGCCCCTGGTGCCCGCAGCTGCGGGGGTGAGGGGGGAGCATGGGAGGCTAGAGGGCACTGGGGACCCTTGCCCTCCTCCACAGCCCTGCCCCTGATTGCCCACTCCCCTACCCCTGCCCTAAGCCTCTCCTCCACCCCAAACCCCATTCCCAGTAACTCCAGGCCCCTCCCCTTTCTCAAGCCCTGCCCCCAAACCCTGGATCCGATGACCCCAGCCCTGCTCCCACCTCACAGCCACTGAGGTCCAGGTGGATGTCACACAGGTGGGTGTTGGCTGCCAGCCCTTGGAGCAGGGAGCTGTGGGGTGGGGAGGAGAAAGGGAGATGGGAGCAGAGCCTCTGGCAGTCCCTGCCTCCTATCTCAGCCCCGCCCACATGCGGAAGGCTCCTTCTTGTGCCAAGGGGGCAGCAGAGACATCTGCATGTGCCCATGCTCTCATACATGCTTGCACATCCCATCGCTCCCAATGCATGCACTTCCACGTGCTTGCTCACTTGCTCACACATGGGCACACCCCCTGCACATGCTTGCATGGGCCCTCATGCAAGCTTGCACACACCATGGCACATACTTGCACATGTTCCTTCACACAGTGGCACACCCCATCACACCCTCTTGCACATGGCCCTGCACATGCTTGACACACCTCCACATAGGCATTCACATGCCTTTCCACACGCCCTCAACGCACGCTTGCACACACACATACTTGGATATACCTCTACACGCGCTTGTACACATCACCACATGTACTTGCACATGCTTACACACAGCCCCGCACATATTTACACATGCCCTTGCACGTACTCCTTCATACACTTGCACTCACCCCACACACACTTGCACATGTCTCTGCACATACACGCGCGCACATGCATGTGCTTGCACACACCACACACGCACATGCCTTGGCACATTTGCACATGCTCCTTCACATTCCTCTGCACATACATAACACACGTCTGTGATAGCAGCACCCCCACGCATACCTGTGCCCCTGAATCTGCTTACACATGCACAAGCACACACACTTGCACACACCCTCGCACATGTGTGTACTCACCGCAATGCCTCCAGGGGCAGGCGCACGCTGGCCAGGCTGACGTAATTGAGGGCGAAGGCGCTGGAGAAGAACTGCCGCAGCGGCATCACCATCTCCTTGGCTTTCCTGGAGGGACCCCAATGTCACCCCTGACCCGGGACCCCATAGGCTGCAGGGTCGGGAGTGAGGGGCACTGGCAGGGGGCTGCAAGTCGAAGGTGAGGGGCACCGGGAGTCCCAGTACTCACCGGTGGGAGAAGCTGTTCCGAGCCAGGTTGAGGTAGTTGAGCCGGGGGCAGCAGCCATGGAGAAGGGCCCCAAAGAGCTGGCAGGGGGCAGAGACACTCAGGCTGAGCCCCACATAGCCCCTGAGGCCCCCTGCTGGGGGTGGATCCCTCCCCCCCACTTACCACATCAACCGCGCAGTCGGTGCCCGACAGGTCGAGGTGAATGAGACCATTGGGCTGAGCCAGGAAGGAGAATAAACCCTGGGGGGTGCAGAAGGGCACACATGGCAGGGACACGGACACCTCAGCTCTGCTGGTGTCCCTCACTTCCAATCCACAGCCCCAACCCACTTCCCCTTTGGGACCCTCCCTCCTGACCTGCAGTCCTTGCCCTGCTCTGGCCCCACTGGTGTCCCTTCCTCCTGACCCACAGCCCCCTGCCCCCTTCCTCCCACTGCCCCTCACTCCGACCCACAGCCCCTGCACACCACCAGCCCTACTGGTATCCCTCACTCCCAACCTGCAGTCCCTGCCCCGCTTCTTCCTGGTGCCCCTCAATCCTGACCCACAGCCCCTACCCCCACAGCCCTGTTGGTGCTCCTCACTCCCGACCTGCAGCCCCAGCCCCCAGTTCCCCTCACTCCCAACCCACAGCCCCTGTCCTGTTCCAGTCCCACTGGTGACCCTGACTCCTGATCCACAATCTCCTGCTCCCCAGTTCCCCTCACTCCCAACCTGCAGCCCCTGTCCTGCTCCAGCCCCCTCACTCCCAACCCACAGCCCCCTGTCCTACCGGTGCCCTTCACTCCCAACCCACACTCACATGGGCCTCCGGCCCTGCCAGCAGCCCCGGGTTCTTGCTCAGGTCAAGGTGCTGCAAAGAGCTGCTGAAGGCCGGGTTGGCCCCAAGGGGCTGGCACAGGGCAGTCAGGCCTGGGAGGGGAAGGGGGGGCAAGAGGGTGGGGTCATCACCTGGTCACACCCCCAGGCACCTAAGAGGCCATGCCCCCTCCCCCACCCACTTCCTTTATGCCCCTCCCCTGTGTGATTCCCCACCCTCCACCCTCTGCCCCAGTCCCCAGCTTGGCCTCTTGCCCTCCTCTGCCATCTGCCCGCAGACCTTCCCCTGACCCTGGTACCTCGGGGTGTGACCCCTGTCCGGGCCAGGCCGAGCAGCTGCAGCCCCTTAGGCAGGCACAGGAACTGCTGACTCAGTGCCCCGAGACCTGGGGGGCAGCAGCAGGGGGTCATGGGAGCTAGGGGACACCGGGGGGTCACCCCCTCTTGCCCAACCCCTGGTATGTCCCTGAATTGGAGGGGGGGGGGCGCACCTGGGAGGCTGGAAGGAGCTGCAGAGGGCTTTGAGGGGGGTCTCAGGGGACTGGAGAGACTTGGGGGCAGGGGCGCTCTGGGTGGGCAGGGGGCTCAGAACCCAGGGGAGCTTTTGGGGACTGTTTCAGGAGATCTTGGAGGCATTGGAAGTCTTGGGGGGCTAGGAGCATCCCAGGGTGCTGGGGGCCCTGGGGGGTTGGGGGACTGTGGGAGAGGCCCTGGGGGCTAAGGGGTATTAGGAGCCTGGGGATTAGGGGGGGCTTGTGGAGGATCTGGGTGGTTTTAGGGAATGGGGGGCAGGGGAGAGTGAGAAGTCTTGGAGGTCTTGGAGGCTGGAGGGTCTCTAGAAACCCGCAGGAGGTCTCTGGGGCTGTGGAGGGTCTTGGGGGGCTGGGGGGTCTCAGTGGGTCTTGGAGGGATTTGAGGGGTCCATGGGGCCAGGGGGAGCCTGGGGACCTCATGGGCTGGGGCCCTCCACAGTGTTGGTGGGGTCTAGGTGGACAGGGTGGACTGGGGGCTCGGGGGGGTGTAGGGACTTCCCAGGTTCTCGGGAATCTTGGGCGTCTCGGGGAAGGCAGGGGACCCACCTTTGTCGTCGACAGGGTTGCGGGAGAGGTCAAGGCCACGCAGGGCCGAGCCAGGGTTGTCGCCCAGCGCAGCTGCCAGCTTCAGAGCAAAGTCCCTGTGCAGGTGGGGGTGGGGCGTCACCCAGACCCACCCAATGCCCTCCAGCCCCCCACCATAGGGCTGAGGGCCCCTGGGGCTGAATCAGGGCTCCATGATGCCCTGAGCCCCCACCTTGGGGCAGATGTCTGGGCTCAGTCCCCCGCAAAACTGGACCTCCCCTCCCCAGGGCTGGGGGTCAGTGTGTGTGTGGCGGTGGGGGGGGGAGTTACTCACGTTTTTAACCCTGCATTGTCCAGTGCCAGCTCCTCCAGGTGCTGGGACTTGCTGACCGTGTGCAGCACCTGCTCAGCCACCTCTGAGCCCTGCAGATGGATGCGCAGATGGACAGATGGAGCTGGGGGCAACCCCCGGCCCCTTCCCCTCCTCTGCTGGTGGCTGGGGCAATTTGGGGTCCATGGAGGCAAACACAGGGGTGCTGGGGGATGATTTGGAGGGGTGGGGGCAGTCCCAGGGGATGGGGGCAGTTGTGGGGGGATGGGGGCAGCTATGGGGAGCAGTCAAGGGCAAAGGGGGTAGGGGGCACTTGTGGGGGCACTTACCAGGCGCAGGTCCCTGCAGCTCAGCCGGGTGAACCACTGGTTATACGCCAGTGCGGCCACAATTAGAGCCAGGTCCCTGGTGGGGGGTGGGGGGGAAGACATCAGCATCCCCAGAACTGACCCCCACCCCAGCACCCCTCCCAGCACTGTGGGCAGAGCTGGAGGGACCCTCCTCCCAGGGAGATTTGGGATGGAGGGAGCAGGGCAGGGCAGAAAGGGGTCCTGTGGGTCTGAGGGGGGTGTCAGGGGGGCTCTGGAATACCTGGAGAGTCTTGGGGGGTATGGGGGACCTGGAAGGGTCTCAAAAGGGTCTTCAGGGGGGTCTCAAGGGGTCCTAGAGAGTCTGAGGGGGGTCTTGTGGGGTCTGAGGGAGGTACTGGAGACTCAAAGGAATCCCAGGGGACCAAGGGGAATTCAGGGGGCCTTGGGGCATGTCACATGGGACCCTAGAGGCCCAAGAGGTGTTTTGGGGGGTCCCAGGGGACCTGGAAGGGTCTCAGGGGATGTGGGGGTATCTCATGGGGGCCTGATGGGGGCTCTCCAGGGCCATGGGGCCCTCACCGGTTTTCCAAGTGGCTGAAGTCGAGCAGGTTGAACTCCCGCGTGTCCTCAGCATGGTAGATGGTGTCCACATCCTGGGGGGAGGGGCCAGATGGGCAAGTGGGTGGGCCCCCCACAGGCCCCTCCCCTGGCCTATCCCCTTCCCCACCCCACTGTCTCCACTCCTCTCCTTGTACCCACCCTTCAACCAATGACAGCCCAATAATCCTCCCCTGTCGCTTCCCCCCTCCCCTCTGCCCCGCCCCCTCCACAGCCCCAGGATGCTTCACCCCCTCCCCAAGCCACACCCCCTGTCCCCACCTACCCACTGCACCTCCTCACGGCAGCACAGCCCGTTGTAGTCACACAGGGCGGCGTAGGTCTCTGAGAAGCCCCCTGATGGGTGGGCAGATGGACACAGGTTGTGTTTGGCCCCAACCCTGTCCTGGGAAGCCCCTCCCTACAGAGACCCACCCCACCCCACTGGGCAGGCCTCCCCATATCTGGAGAACCACCTGCTCCTGACTCAATGCCCTGTATGCCCTCTCTCCATCCAGCCTTCTGTCCATCCATCTGTCCATGGCATCTCTCCATCCATCCCCATTGCTCCATCCATCCACCCATCCATCCATCCCCTTCCCCTCTCCTCCCCTGCTCACCGCAGACACTGTGGCTGGTGGAGGTGGAGCTCTCTGAGTTGGGGGATGTGTCCCGGGGGGTATCAGGGGTCCGTAGGCACCTGCAGAAGAAGGGCTGGGGGCTCAGATACCTGGGTCCCATGCTAGGCATGCCCCACCCCCTGCAGCACGGTGCCCCCCACTGGCCCTGCTTACCCCGAGGCAGAGCTGGGGAAGATCTTGGCAAGGGCAGAGTTCACATGGCGGGTCACGTGGTCAGCGCTGTCCAGGGTTGGGAATGTGAGGTTGTAGGTGGATTTCTCTGTGTCAAACAGGATCTGAGGGAGTGAGAGAGGGAGAAAGGGATGGATGGGTGGATGGACAGACAGACAGAGGGATGGGATGTGTGGAATAGTGGAACGAGCAACGATGAGCATAGAGAGGGATGGGTGGATGGACAGATGGATAAAGTTATGGGTGGAGGGATGGGGCTATGGAGATGGATGTTGCCAGATAAAAGGATGGATTGCCAGATGGAAGGATGGATGAAAAATGTAGAAATGCATGGGGGGCAGGATGGATTGAAGCTAGATGGAGAAATGGAGAGAGGGGTGAGGTGTGTAGGGATGGATGGACAGATGGATGAGTGGAGCAGTGTGTGGAATGAGATGTGTGGAGAAGGGCAGAAGGACAGACGAGCGGGGGGAAGTGATGGAGGGAGGGTGGATAGAGGGATGGGGGGTGAAAGGATGGAGGGAGGGGTGGAGCTGTGGGGGGATGAGCAGAAGCAGGGAGGGAGGGAAGTTCTGCAGCGAGGAGGAGGCAGGAGGAGGTGGGAGGAGGCAGCCCAGCCTGAGCTGAGCTGATTTGCATCCAGTGCTTCCCACCTTAGAGGTGTCACCTCACCCGCAAAGGCACCCTGGTCATTAACCGCTCACCTCGTTCAGCCCTTGAGGGGAGAGGGAGGAGAGACACCGGCAAGGCCGGGGCCTGGAGGTTTGTAAGTGAGGGTCACTCCAGTGGCGGGGTGGGGGGGAGCTGTGGGTTGTGAGTGAGGGCACAGAACCCAGGCGTTCGGGACGCACCTCTACAGAGATGGGTGGGTGTCCCAGATGTTCTGTGTCTTCACTCCTGACCCACAGCCCCTGCTGGTATGTTGAGGGAGGGGGACATTTTGGGGCAGCAGAGGAGGGAGCTGTGGGGGGGGGGCAACTGGGGGCACTTACTTGACTGGGGGTGAGTTTGTTCATGGTCCGAATTTCCAAGACATTGAAGGAGCTCTCGACCTGGGGCAGGGGAGAGAGGAGTGAGGGGTACGTGTGTGTGCGTCTGTCTCCCGGACAGCTGAGTGGTGTGTGTGTTTGTGTGTGCATGTGTGTGCACGTGCCACCCAGGCACATGGGTTATGTGTGTGCATGCATGTGTACTGGATATTTGGATCCTGTGCATGTGTGTGTACATGTGTCTCCCAGATGCCTGGGTTCCTTGTGCACGTGCTGTGTTGTCCTGGTTCCCAACTCACCTTCGCAGGCACCTTGACCCCAAACAGGTAGATGCGCCAGGCAGTGAGGACCTGAGGATGGAAGGAATGAGATGTACCTGGTCAATGAGCATAGGGAAGGGGTTGGGAGCTCCCATGACCCCCTGCCTCCCAGGCTTTCTGGTGGCCCTTACTCCTGCCCTGCAGCCCCCTGCCCCCCCATCCAGGTGGTGCCCCTCACTCCCAACCCACAGCACCCTCACCAGCACTCGGTCCTCTAGCTTCTTGGGCTTGGCCTCCACCTTGACCCGGACGAGGAGGTGGATCTGGGGCCGGTTCAGAACCTTCCGGATGCTCTCTGTAAGGGGAGAGGGGGGTCAGAACTGGGGTGTGTCACCCTGGACCCCTGCAAGCTCCATCCAACATGGGGATGGGACCTCTATCCTGCAACTGCCCACCTGGTTCCCTCCCATAACCAGCTGCCCTCTGCCCCCAGCTCTGCTGGCGCCCCTCACTCCTGACCCTCAGCCCCCCCGCTGCTGACGGTTCCCCAAACTGGTTGGTCACCAGGATGGCGTGGACAGCCAGATGGACAGATGGATGGATGGAAGGTGGGGGTAGAGGGGCACACCAGACAGATAGGTGCAGGGGTAGGAGGTGCATGGAAGTGGGTGGGGGAGTGGCTAGGGGGGCAGGCAGGTATGGGGGAGTGACGATGGCTGCAGGGACAGTCCTTAGTGGGAGTGGGGGTGCTCAGGGCAGAGATGGGGAGGCTGATGGCTGCTGGGATGTATGGACAGATGGACACATGGAGGGGCAGGGGACTGCTGAGGTGTGTGTCTGAGTGTATGTATGAGACACCCAGATGTCTGTGTGTGTGTGTGTGTGTGTGTGTGTGTGTGTGTGTGAGAGAGAGAGACCCAGATCCCTGGGTGCCTGTCCCCCAGACACACGGCCTGTGTGCATGCATGCACCCGTGCGTGGGGTGTGGGTGTCTGTCTGTCTGTTGCAGATGTCTGAGCTTGGTGTGTTTGTACCCAGGCCTGACCACACTTCCTGTGTTGCAACCCAGCTCAGCAGGCAGCTGCTTCCCCTGGCCCTGTGGGGCCTGGCTGGTGGTTTGAGGGGAAGGGAGGCACAACTGGCCTGCAGGGAACCCAGCTGTCTGGGCCCCTAGCCCCACCCTTCTCAAACCCACCAACCCCACTCCCCTCCCAGCCCAGGCCTCCCAGCACCCGGCCCCTCTCTGCCCTCCCCACCAACCCTCACCCCACACCTAGAGCCTAGGGAGGAACTCAGGATTCTGGGCCTCCAACTTTTTCTCCCCAGTGCCCTCCCAGAGCCAGAAGAGAACCCAGTCATCCAGGCTCCCAGCCACGCCCAGACCCCACTGCCTTTCCCAAGTGGGGAAAGAGCCCAGGCATCCGGGCTCTTAGCCCCCATCCTCTCTCCCAGAAAACACAGGGAATGGGGGAAGGTGGTGGGTACCATGGACAAGTCCAAAGGGGGGTGGGGGGGCTGGAAGG